AAGCCAAGGTCATCCTTTCTCTCTGCACCTGACCAGATCTGGATGGGTGGAAGCTGCCAGCATGGGAGTGGATGATTGGGCCATGGGATGGACTTGTGGGGGTGGGGACAGGATCTTGAACTTTCAACTGGGTGGGGAAAACCGGGGAGCTTTCAGATTTGGGGTTTCCCAGATGTGCCAACGTGGCTCTCTTCATAAATTGAAATTTTGAGCAATACTTTTGCCTTGGACTCTGATTTACTTTTGGATAATATTTGGAATGCTGACACTTGGTTCTTGGGACCTGGAAGAAATGCCTTCGTGGTCGATGCTAAGCAGGTCTCCATATGTCCAATTTTCACCCAAGGATGCAAAGCGCGTGGACTGAGGATCCAGATTTGAGTCCAGGCAGATCTTCAGTGGGAGAGTTTCAAGATTAGCTCTTCCCCACCTGGGAACATCCCTCCAAACAATGTGGGGCCAACCTTGCAAGATACATTATCTCTGTCACTCTTCCCTCCAGAAGGTGCTCACAGGCCAGGCCAGGTAAGCAAAGAGCAATTCGGAGCAGATTCCTGGGTGACTGGCACATGGGACAAGCTGGCACATGCGTCCTCATCAGCATACACCCTGCCAGGCCGTTGGTGTGAAAGAAAGCAGAGCAGGATAAGAAACCTAGGCCCCCTTAGACGTTGCGGGTGACAACTCCAGAAGTGGAAGCTGCTGGGAGTTGAAGCCCACAGTAACTGAGAACTTCTGGGCTGGTCCACCACCACCACCACCACTCAAGGAGTCCAGAAGATCCTTTCCTGGTCCCCCATTAGCAGAAGCTGCCCGAGTGGCACCGTTTGCCTTTTTCTCCAACCCTCCGTGCCATCCAGATGGATGGCACAGCACACCCCATTCATGTAAGGGCAGGAAAACGGGCATTTCTCCATTTATGGGGCAATACAAAGATTTTCCCCACGCACTTCCCTACAGAAAGGGTGTGGCGAGCAAAGCTGGACGAGAAGACACCCACGAGGGACTCTTTATTCCCCTTGCCGAGGCCAGGACCACAACTACAATGGGAGCCCCCCCCCCCCCCCCCCCCCGAGGCCAGGACCACAACTACAATGGGAGGGGCCCCCCAGGGCTCCGTCTCTGCTGAGCTAACCACAAAGTCTTCACTCAGCTTGGAAGCCCACAGGATTTGCACAAGGCTGGCAAAGGCCCTCGGGAGACTCTGGCCGCCGCAGCCTGGATTCCCACGGATTAAGGTGGGGCTGCCCCGCCCGGCGCAAGAGAGAGGCTCCTCTTCCCACTGCTACCCCTGTCCTGGGCTCCAAGGGGCAGCTTCCAGGTGGAATGAGCCCCCCGCCCACCTTTGTCAGTGCCCAACGCGAGCCATACTAGGGGTTTACTTCGCCTCAGCTGGGTTTGCTAAATAAATGCAGGCGAGAAGCGGGTTTGTGTCATTTGTCCCAGCTTGCCAAGGCAGCTTTTGGGATTCAGCTGGGAAGAAACGAAGAACTGGCCTTGGGGCAGAGAGGGAAGTGGGGTGGGAACGATGGGGGACGGACAATCCCATCGTGATCTCTTTGAGCGTAAAACCAGCCAGAGAAACCTGGACTGGGCTTTTGAGATCCTAGTTTTTTTTTCTATCCAGCAGCAATGAAAAACAACTCTGGGAAAGCCCCAACATTTGGACAAGGGACGAAGATGCAAAGGTCTCAAAGGTGCTTCACCCCCCCCCCCATTTTCTTTTCCAAAAGGCCACTGGGCTTTCTTTTCTTTGAAAATGTTTTGCTTCTGATCCGAGGAGATTCTCCAGTTCTGACTGGAGGGGAATGGAAGGTAGAACGGAAGAAGCTTCTTGGATGAGAAGCAAAACGTTTTCAAGGGGGGGGGGGGAAAGCACTTATTGGGGACAACCATGACCTGGGTGACTGAGAATCTCCACAGGCAAAATGCCAACCCTCTCCCCCATTCCGGCTAGTGCCGCAGACCCCGGTAACCACCTTTACAGCTAGGAACGCCTTCCACTGTGGCTGCGTCTTTCCGCATCCCAGAGAGAACTGACCAGGGTGATGGAAGAGCAAGCCAGCTCCTTACAATCCTGCCCCTATAGCCCACGGGTCTCCAACCGTGGCAACTTTTAAGACTTGTGGGCTTCAACTCCCAGAATACCCCAGCCAGTTTTTCTATGTGATTTTTGTTTCCCTCCAGAGCTAACACCTTTTCTGCAGGAGGGCCGAATGTCAGCCCCTTTAATATATCGCTTGCTTGCTATCGGCTGCCATAGTAACAGGGGGAGGGGGCTTCTGTATTTGGGAGGGGGAATCATGCTGGAGGAGATGTCTCGAAAAGAAGAGGGAGTTTTGTTCGCACCGTCTTTCGCGCGTGCTGAATGGACTTGTTTAGATTTAGGTCATCCGTCTCTGCATACCAGATGGATGAAGCCACCTGAAGATGTACCCCCACATGACACCCTCGGAGGCTGGAGATTGGACATTCAGCTTGGGGTTATTGGGGGAGGGATTTGAGTAAACGTTTGATGTGTACAATTTCGCGGCTTTAGCCTCACATCTTGCTCAGAATAGCTCAGCAATGCTGGCTGAGGAATTCTGGGAGTTGAAGTCCACAAGTCCACAAGCAAGCGATATAT